AAGATGGCGGTTGGCGTAATTTTGTATTCAATCATTCTTGGTTCGATGACATATGCTGTTGTCTTAACCTTCTGTACTCTAATGTTTCAGTTAGTGACCGACCGTAACCGTATCAGCTGATACGACCTATCTTATGAATGCGCAATGTAAATGAACACTCACCACCGCTTCTACCGTTTGTAACGTGGAATATCCGTGAAAATTGTTTTTGTCTTCGTAGAATCGAGTCAGCTGATTGCTCTCTTACAACGCAAGGCTGCCAGCCTCGATATTTTGAGTTAATTGAAAACTAAACTTGAATATATTTGAAATATACTTAAACTAACGCAACATCACAGTCGAATACGATTATTTGTAAATAGGTAGACTATTTTTAATATAGGGTGGCTCGCGCATCGCGCTACAAAAACAAACCGTAATAACATTTTTTCTGTGTGAGTAATCGACTTACTTTTGTTTATTTGCAAGATACTATTTAGTTTTTTAAAACCATGAATGCTTGGGATACTGAAAAGAGGGTTTGGATAGTGCAGCGTTACCGTTCATTAAATCGATAACGGAGGCAGTCCCGACTTCAGCAATAAATAATTTTCTGCGGCCCATAATTTTTAAATTTTAAATATAATTAATTAATTTTTAAATATTATTAAGAAAAATTGTAACTGAAAAGATAGACATGTGCAAAATCATCTATGTATATAAATTGAGCAATGACATCATTGCTCAAATGGAAACAAAGGAGAACAATTGATTTCTTAGTTGTCACTACGGGCATAACTTTTGACAAATTTCGTTTCATATGGACGGTAAGTACGGAAGGGCGGCACGTCGGTCACTAATTCCACCATAATTCTTTGAACACAAAGACGGCTGCACGACAGCGAAATTTTCTTAAAGCCATCTTCTTAAACATTTTGCAGACGGCAGCGACATATCAAACAGCTGATGTACACAATTTCGTTGTTGCCGTAATAAAACCTTTCACTTCAATGATATTTAAATATTTTGTTCAAAATGAAATTTTTTGTGCCGAAAATAAGTAAGTATCTATTGGTAAGATATTGTTGGAGTTGTTAGCATAACTTTACATTTCACATATTAGTGGCAACACTACAGCCTCCCATTGTCGTCGGCATAATTAAAAATGATTTTAATTTAGCGACAGCGACAACTGCAAGCCTGCTGCCGTGAAGTCTTCCTGTTGCCTAAATAACTGTGCCCGTGAGGACGTGTGTATGCTAATATTTACCAGATGCTGCCGGTCGCTTGTCGTCGTCCATGAGTTCAACGTTTGATTATGTACCATTAGTGACAATGTGCAGCTAGAACGCAGCGAAATTAATCGACCAAGCATAAGTATCAAAATGTATGTATATCGAAGAGTTAACGCAAAACAACAACACATGCATTGCTACAATGTGTTTATAGCTCCACACGCACACGTAGCCGCTCACAGCAAAACAAAAGCAAGCAAGGAAATGCAAAATAGTGTCGTAACGCGACCTTGAAAAATCTCTCTCCCGCGTGAAAAAGAAGAATTCGCTTAAAAAAAAGCTGCGAGCATCTAAAAAAGAAGAAAATGTCGGAATAAGGGAGAACAGAGCCACATTGACTTTGTTTAACCAGAGATGTCTATTACTATAAACCTTCAAAGTTGTATATGATTAATCCGGGAGTTGCAGTTTATACCTAATACATTTGTTCATATTTAACCCGCACTGATAAAAAGCTATATTTTCACGTATTTTCACTAATCTCTATTATCGCCTTGAAAATAGGCTCCTGAGTCAATACAAGCACGCCAACGATTCATATATTTTTCGATACACTTAATGTATGTCTCGGCTAAAATGGCCTTCAGTGCCTTCAGAGAATTTTGTTTTCTTCGTTTCGGCTCACATTTGGAGGGCCATTCGCCAGCGTTTCGACAACACATTCATAAACCCACGTCTTCTCACCAGTAATGATTCGTATGATGAATAGGCTTCTCAACTACGATGTCAAACATCTTTTTGCAAGCTCTACTCGACATCGGTTTTGCAAAAAGATTCAGATCTTTTGGTACGAGTGTAGCATTGACACGTTTCATAACCAAAACATTGACCGAAATGAGTTAAGTCTGATGCCAAAACAACGATTTTCAAGCACTATTTCAACGGCTTAAGCGCGCAGGTAAAATAGGTCAGTCCGGGTCAAATTTGATCAGGTAAATAAATACCTGCATATACGCAAACTATACTTCAGTTTTGAGATATCAATCTGAAATAGTGCATACGCTCTTTCCGCCAAGAAGCTGCTCATTTTTCGAAACCGCCGACATTAAACCACTGCAAGATATCGCTACCATATAAACTGATTAATCAAAACCAAGTTATTGTATGGAAAACTTTTTTATTTGGGGAATTATCTTAAGAAATTTAACATAGATTATAGTTCAAGGCAACGATACCATCTGCAGCAAAATTGTTAAGATCGGACTACTATAACATGCAGCCGAAGTTATTGGTTTTTCTTATTGTTATTAAATTAAAACATTCAATACTTTCACCAATAATTTTCTAGAATTTTAGGGCTAATTTATACGCTTTTACTTACATCAGCCTAATTTGATGTCGCGCATCAACAAAAATTCCTTCGGTGTTACACTGTTCAGCCTGCGTGAGACACACTAAGTATACTACTTAAAAATCATAAAAAAAAGTATTTAAGATTAATTCCGGCGAAAACTATTGAAATTCTCAAAAAACACTTCAGTGAACTTCAAGCAAATAAAGTCTTGTCTGAAGTGTTGCCACTTCAAGTCAATCAATACAATTCGAGGGTTATTTTTATTTACATGCTGGGTCAGAGTGGGTAAATCTCCATGATACTATGCATAAATATGTATGCAAACAAATATCTATAAATGCAAAGAAATACGCAATACATATGCAAGTTAAAAAGTTTTTATTAAAAAATTGTTATTGCGAAAATCGCTAGCATTTCCACATAATATGCTAAAAGCAAGAAAAGAATGATAAGCAAAAACGTTAAAGCAATAAACTTGCTTAAAAGCAATAAAATTAGAGCTATTTGCAAAAAAGGAAAAAACTTCGATTGCACTGTTGACGCTCGATTTTCAATTCAAATAGCGCTGTTGATAAATTCAGCGTATTTTTAGATGTGTTTTGAAAGGTAATAGTAGTATTTCTCGTGCATGAGGAGTATGACATAAATAATGTGATTGATAAATAAGGAAATGAGTTTGCAATTTTTTGAAATTAAAATAAATAGCTCAGATTATGGGTAGAAGTGGTGCCGAATACAGAAAACCACTTGTATAGGTAACGGAGATATACTACAGATATTACCAAGCTCATTCTTTTGTCAGCGAACTGTAGTATGAATATTTGTGCAAAACCAGGCCAAAAACTCTGCTATAGAAGGAGAGAAAAATAAATACTATGAATGATTTGTGGCACAGGTGTGATGTGTGATTTTACTAAAAAATCAGCATCTCTAATGTATATTTGTGGATTGTTGCATTCGTTGTTCGATAATCCCTTCAAGCGCATATTTCGAAGTTAATTATTTCAATATGTAGACTATCCCAATTTATTCGACGAAATCTAACCAGTGATCACATCTAGTTTAAGGAACTTTAGTTAACTAAATAACTGAAATGAGTTGGTTCGCTCTATCGTTGCTTGACGCAGTTCCTTTAAGGGTTTATATCCATTTGTTAAAATAAAAAAAAACTATTTTTGGCATATATATTGAACGTATATATATTTAAGAATACATTCCTTTTTACATATATTTGACAGGTCATGATCGAGGGAATAATATTTTGATAATAGTTTCGATATTTTAAACCACTCTGAAATGTAAATTTTTCCACAAACAAAGAAGTTTCCATGCAAAGAACTTGATTTTGATCGTTCAATTTGTATGGCAGCTATGCGATACAGTCCGATCTGGGAATTTTTTTCAATATCTCATGCCGAATTTCGTGAAAATATATTTGTTGGAAACCACCATTTTGTCAAAAATAAAAAATGGTACTAGTCATTGGATCATTACCTGTATTCATCTCATATAGTAATATTTTTATTATTTTAATTTTTGGAATTCAGATAATTTTGAGTAGCAAAGTCTTGCTCACCGCCAAAAACGGCGACGAGTGAATCCAATAATTTTTGGAATGAATCGACGATTGCTGTACTATATGAAATAATGAAAACTCAGACCTTTGTTTTATATATGAAATTAAGTGTTTCTTTAAACAAAATTCAGGAAAAAGGGTTTTTTCTAACTTGTTTATGGATATACGTAAGTAACTCCGTAAGCTATTTAAAACCCTTCAGCTCCTTCGAAGGTTGCTTAAAGCAATTGATATAAGAGGAAGAACTCAAGTAATAGAGCAACAACCATACAGGGTGTACCACAAAATTACTTTGGGATAAAGTGGAAGGTTGACCAACCAAAAGGCTTAACATTTTTAAAGGGAACATATCGGTGAGATCTCACCTTCAGAAATATAGCACAGTGGATTCCAAAGAATTATTCGAATACTAGCAACATTTTAACAAATTCTGCTGACCTATATACAACTATACTAAGTGATAGGCAAACTTAAATACTAGAATATGTTCTAGTTAACTTAACCAGCAGTTAAATTTTTAATTTCAGAGTAATGAAAAAATTCTGAATCGACGCGTATATGAAAGTGTTTAGAAATGCACAGGCCTGTTTTATATACGAAAAAAATTGACTTAAAAAAGACAAAGAAAAGTTTGTAATCGCTACTGAAATTTAATAATGGTCAGTTGAGAAACTATAAGCTAGTGTGTATATATAAATAATTTTTGTTAAAAAGAACTGTTGCGAAATAATTGTTTTTGCAAAGGAATTCTACTTGAAAATTTTTACTGCTAGAATAGCTTAAAACTATTGTATATATTCGTACATTTATCTGTATACTTTTATATCAGTTTTTGTATTGCGTTTTCTGTACTCACCGCTTTACTGGGCTGGCCATATTCACTTTAAAGTTTTTTCTTCAATTTAGCCAGTCTTGTTGTATCTGACGCCGTTATTTTATGTAGTTAAGCTTGGCAATGCTAATATCGTCGGTATTAAGTGATTGCACAGAGGCAGTAAGTCAGTCGTTGCAGTTTAGTAGCTGGCAATCTGACTAATTGGCATCACTGTGATATCAGTTGCACAACTCTGAATTGTTGACCGTTGTTAATTTTTCTCAATTCACGTGTTGTTATTGTTATTTTATTTTATTGCCATTGTTGTTTTAACACTATTCGGTGTATGCTAATGCAAATTGTTTGCAACCAGGTGTTGCTGGTCACTATTTGTTTTCACACACTGACGCTTTCAATTACCTGCAAAGGCATTTATCCACTTATATTTATATGCTTATATATGTGTTATACATATGTGCATGACACTCATGCCACGTAATTTATTTATGTGTGCTGTTTAGGTATAAGCGAATTATTGCACAATTTTCTTTCATTTCGTTTATTTTACATTTATTGCATTGCCAGATGCAACATGCAACACAAATACTTTGCCATTAGTTTGCAGCGAAAATTTGTGGCTTTTCATCAAAGTGGACAAATAAATAAATTGCAATTTATTTGTATTTGAGTTGTTTAGTAGCACTTTTTTATTTAAATATTTTTGAACTTTTTAAAGGTTTTAATGCCTTTTATTTATTACTTTTTCATTTTCTATATAGTTTTATTGGTAGCTATTTATTTTTGTTTGTCTGCCGAAATTGAAAATCGAACAAATTAATTTCGATAAATCACCCACTAGAGGTGTCACGTATTGAGCTTTTAAAATGGCCTTTGTTTTCAATTAATTGCGCGCAGCTGCCAAACTCTGCATAAAATTATGTGTGTGTGTGTTTGTATACAAAATTGTTGAATTGCCTGGAAAATTAATTAGAATTTGGTATGAGGCGTATGTTTTGTGGCTTTTGGAAAAATTTTGCTGGGATTTTATTGAAGTATAAAGCTTATTGAGAAACCCATTAAAAAATTGATATATGAAAAGAGTTTTATAGAGATCGAAAATACCCGTCTTTAATATATGTCAAGAAACAATAATTTTTTTCACTCAAAAGTTTCGAATTTTATGCCTGAAAAAATGTACTTGTGTGAAGTTCTTTTTCATTACTTCAATATGAATACAACCTCAGACGAAAGTCATCATACTTTGGTGATAGTTTATGGTGAATATGTACAAGCTGGGCACACGTGCCAAAAATGTTTTGCACCAATCAAAAGTGGAAGCATTACTCGATGAATATTGTTACCAAACACAAGAAAAGCTCGCACAATCTTTAGAAGTCAGTCAAGCAGCCATTTCAAAATCGTTTAAAACCATTTATTCAAAAGCAAGGAACTTAGGTGCTATATGAGTGCATTCAGGAGATGTTTTGCATGTCTGAAATGCTGCCTGTAGAAGTCGTTTTGGCATCCGATTGTGATTTTTAATTAAAATTGGATTCATTACGACAACCGTAACTGCAAAAAATCATATGTAAGACCGAACCAACCTGCGAAATTAACGGCAAAGTCGAATATCCAATACACAACGATAATGCTCTGTATTTAGTGGAATCAGGAAAGCGTTATGTATTATGAGCTTCTAAATTTGGGTGAAACCAATAATGGAGAATGCTACCGACAACAACTCATTCAATATAAACGAGTGATTGCCAAAAATGACCGGAATTCTCGACTAGGCACAAGGCAATAATTTGCTATCATGACAATGCTCGTGCCTCATGCTAAAAACTACTTGGAGAAAGAAATCTTCCTCATCTACTTTATAGCATAGCCCTCACGCCTTCTGACTACTATTTGCTCAGATCCATACGGCTCAATTGCCATAAATATGGGAAAATGTTATAGTTTCAGATGAAAAATACTTTGTATTATTCAACACACATGTTCTTCTTAGATATATGTACAAATTTTGAAAAAGAAAACGGCACGAAAATGTATCCAGTTGTAGGTTTTAAGCTAATAATTTCACAACTCCACAATTTTAATTATAATTTCGACCATTAAACGTATATAAACAATTATTTAGAATTAATGTCTGCGCACCAGTCGCTTATCACAGACTCCGCATATGCTAATAACTGTCCGGCTAAAAATAATTATCCAGCAACGCTAACAAACTGCACGGCGCACTCTTTATGACACACATACCAAAGCAATTGGCTAAATTAAAACCGATAAGCGCACGCACACAGTGTCAGAAGATGCTGCCCTTGTAATTGCGGGCTTACACCCATTAGATCTCTTAGCCAAAGAGACCAAAAAGCCTGTAACGGACTTACCACCCCGAACCGTAAAAGGAAATGCCCGAGCGGAGACGGTGGAGAGTTGGCAAAGACGATGGGAAGTCAGTCAAAAAGGACGTTGGACTTTCCGACTGATTCCCAACATTGACCCATGGCTAAAAAGACCACACGGCGAGGTAGACTTTTATTTAACTCAAATCCTGACAGGGCATGGCTGTTTCAAAGCATATTTGAAACGCTTTCAACACGAAAATGATGATATATGCGATAAATGCGGTGGCGAGACAATTGAGAATGTAGAACATACGTTGTTCCATTGTCCGCAATACGAGCAAGAGAGACGATTCCTCAAGAGTGCATTCGGTATAGACCCAACCCCCGAAAACTTAGTAGACCAAATGGTGGAATCAAAAGCTAAGTGGGAGGCGGTGTGCGAAATAGCCGCCAAAATCATGAAAACCCAAAGAGCCCGAGAGCAGCAGCGGAGAAGAGAACTCCAAAACTTAACGGACCACTAGAACGCGGACCAAACAAACGCACTAAAGGGGAAGGGTTTGGCGACAAACTTTGCACGGGGCGGGTTTAATACCAACAGAGGTGGGGCCAAGTAAATGCAACTTGTTACTGAATGCATTGAGACTACTACAAACGTATGAGCACTCAACTCAACCATCCTCCCGACGGAATACTTGACGGTGGTACCGGGGGGAAAGGTACATGACGGTAGGAGGTTTAGTTGGATTAAAGTTCCACACTGACGTGGGGTTCAGGCTTTCGATGCTTCCTCCTCGTAAAATAAAAAAAAAAAAAAAAAAAACACTACGCGCTTTTGCACGACTAGCTCTACTCCATAACATATGCATTAAAACGCCTGCCACACAGCTTAATCTAAAGCGTACGCATATTAAACGTTACTCATACGCCACCACCCATGCGCTGTTTCGGCGTTTTGGCGTGTAAAGTTTTCTCCCTTTTCTTTTGATTTACAGCGCATTAGGCCTATAGCTCATTAATCATTTTTGCATTGCTACAGATGTACTAAACCGCCATTTTGTCGACATGCATCTATGTGTGAGTGTATGATATGTATGTGCAGTGGACACGCTTAACCACTAGTTAATAGCACTTTAACTTCCTTTCCACCTTTAGGCAAACGTCACTAGTTACACAGGCACGGAATATATACGCATATGTGTGTGTGTGTGGATGTTGAATATTTAATGACACATAAATACTTATGTAGTGTATATTTTTTTCATCAGGACCTAAGCACAAGCAAAATATGTTTTGATACTCGGCACTCACACAATCAAATCACTTTGCTAATATTTTTGTGATGTCCATAGTCCATAAGATGAGGGAATTAAGATGTGTGTGTATGTAGTAGTGCTACTGCTGCATTCGACGCAAATTTACTGTTAAAAGTTATCTGCTTTTTAACAGCTTTTAATGGCTTTCGATCTCTTCACATATACAAACACATGCATAAATGTGTGTACATTCAATCCCTTCATCTGTACATCTCTATGATACTTGCTTGTAGTTGTTATTGTTGTTGTATGCTAAAAATAGATTAAAAAGGGATTTTCAATTGAATATTTTATTGGTAAATATTGATTTCATTGGTTTCATCAAAAATTTCAAAGCCCTACAATAAACATAAACGAGCATATTTACGAATACAAATACAGCAAAAAGCACGAAAATGGGAAAATAGGAAAAGTGTAATAAATCTTGGAGGCAAATATGTTTTGGATGCTTGGAAATGTGTTATTTAAGTATCGGTAAATAGTGTATGGTGAGTGATTCAATTTAACTATTCTGCACTTGGTGAATGTGTGTATGTGTACGTGTATGGATCAGGTAGATAAGCAAATAGAAATTAAGGCATGCAGCCCTGAGGTATGGCTATCAAATTTATTTTCATAGCTTTAAATTTGTTGTGCAGATACATATTGCAGTTTGTTTTCTTTTTTTTTTGTTTGTTTGGTTTTCATTCAAATTTGTAGCAATTTTCAATATCTTTTTAGTTAATCTGAGGAATAAATTATTTTGACCGGTCCGTAATACACATATTTGTGTACATATACCTATATATTCATTCCAAAGACTTTGGAATGGCTAAAGTTTTTATACCCTGAACAGGGTATATAGAGTTTGCCACGAAGTTTGTAACACCCAGAAGGAAGTGTCGGAGACCCTATAAAATATATACATAAATTATCAGCATGATGAACTGAGTTGATTAACCCATGATCGTCTGTCTGTCCAAACAATTTTCGCAAAGGTTTGAATAACTAATATCGCATAAAAAGTTCTATCATACAGTGGATATGGTAAGCCAACCATTAGTAAAATTTGATTTTGATATTGATCAGATATTTATCAAGCGGACAATCATGATAGAGAACCAAGAGAATTAGAATTATACCGATCATCTATATGTCGACTTTAAAGCCGCTTTCGACCGCAATTGAAGAGTTGACTTTATGTTGTTGTATATAACTATCTTAACTTTTTAATAATGCTTTTCTTCGATACAATGATACATCATTGTCAGCTTATTAAGAATATGTAACATTCTCTCGCACCTGTTTAATAGTAACCGAGATGTCAGATTGATTTCTTTAATATAACATTAGGGAAGACAAAACAAATTGCCTAACATACCGGTCCAATGAAAAAGGGACCCAATTTTGTCTTAGTGGAGAAGGAAGAAGGCAGAATAAAAAAGAATATATAGTTAAATTGAGAAAAGCTATAGTTTATTGTTAATTAAATTTGTTCACATTTAAAGAATATTTAAACAAAAACAGCGGTTTATTCCTAAAACTCCATGTAATAAATTTTTATGGATTTCCTACACTCATATTTACAATACAAAAAGCACAAAAGAAAACGGCTATAAACAGTCAGGATACTAACGAGGTTGTCAACATTGCATTACAAAAGGATGTTGAAGAGGTGCAACAAAAAACAGCAAAATTGATACGGAGCTACGTCACGCCAAGACAATAAAGTGGCAGCAAAGACGAGTTGTGCGAGAAAAAGATGCAATATCTTGTACCACAACGCGCGGAGCGAGGCTTAATGAATCAATTATCTGTGTGTATGTGAGAGAAATAAGTTAAAGCACAAGCACTTCAGCTGTCTTTAAAAGAGCAAGAACCTGAGAAATCTTTGAGAAAAGTGTTGCAAGTGGAACTGTGCATTTTCCTCTTGACAGGAAGATTCGAGTTCCCAAGAACAGCCAGTAAACAGATTACATGTTTATATGTGTGCAAGCTTATGAAACTTTTGCATTCTTTTCTGTCATTCTTTATATATATTTGCTCTTTCACTTTCTTGTCGTACGCTTAATATCTTTAATCCGCACATTTTGTAAGGCCACTCAACTAAGTGACTGTCACATTAAGGATATTGTCAACTGCTTCCTGCTTCGTTACCTGCGTATAAACGTTTAAGAGCCAGGATACACATAGCAACAAAAACGCCTATGTAAATACATGTGCGAATATATAGTCACTTGTGTGCCTGTGTTTAGTTGGCACTCGACTGATTAGCGCGTGTGTTCTATCTATAAAAGCAAAGGAAACATCGCTAAGCAAACCATTGAAAGAAGTTTCAACGAAACTTCCGTTATTGGTTGCAGGCAACAACAAATTGTGCTGGGAAGAGGATGTGCATTGGTATGGCTCATACTTACTACACCTATGTACGTATATTCTAGAACAACCTTGGTAGTTATTATGTGTTACTACAATGGCTTACACATATTCATAATTGTAGATATGACTCCAGCGCACTAACGACTACAGCAAAGTGCACAGAAAAGCGTAACTCGATATGTATAGATTTCGAACATTTAATGCGAATTTGTTTGCCGAAAATAAGAATTTTTATTCAAATCCAATGATTTGATTTGATGATTATTAACGTCTCTCTAACATTAACTCTGCCTATTAATGTAAAAATGTTATTTTCGAATTAAAAAGCACAAAAATATTTTCCAAAATGTATATTCGTTTTTTTAGGCTCATTTTAATTTGAAACAAGTAAAGAAGGCCCAGAAGTAACCGAACATTTTATATTCTCGCAAATTCAAAATACTCGTATACAAAAAAAAATTTTTTTTTTGCTTAGCCTTTGTAGATCATAAAACAAGAAAATTTGTTTTAATCTCTTGAGGCGGCCCACTCACTTTTAAAGTAAATTTCGAGTTAAAATTTTAATGTCGTAAAAAAGTTTTTATAAGTGTTCTAGAAGCTGTAGAGAGTCCTCTCTCTGGCCAATTAAAAGTTATCAACTTAAAAAACTTTTTTGTGGTCATTATTGGAATTTTAAAAAAAGTCTTAAACGACAACATGTTTTTTTGAGTCAATTTTGAGTCAAAACCCGTCAAATTCGGTAATTTTTATATAAATGTGAAGAGTGTAAACCAAAAAACATTTTTAATCGAAATTTACTTTAAAAGTAAGTGGGCCACTACTAAATGTTAAATAAAATTGTTTTATTTATATATATATAAGTTTTCTTTTTTTATAATTTACAAATTTTACCCTCAGGCTAAGCAAAAAAATAAAATTTAAATGGAATTTGAGGTTAGTATTAACCCGATTTTATCAATTTTTGCCAATACCACCCCATACTTTCATGCCACAGACTAATAAAATGCTCCCACTGTTTCATTAAGATACCTCACATACCATCAAAAATCATATGGAGTAAAGTCAGACGAATGTTCGAAAATCCTGATATCAGTTACATGGTGGCTAGGTAAAATTTGCACCTGATTTAATCCATTTTAGGCACAAAGATACCTCGTTATAAGTAAAACCCGAGTTCTCATTTTTATTAAGATAACTCGCATATTGGCTGATATATGTGGTATAAAGTCACCAGGAAGTTCGAAAATCTTTTATTAGGTATATGAGGGTATAGGAAGTATTGATCCGATTCGACCCATTTTTGACACAAAAACATACTTCTGTCGAGAGTTTAATTTATTTATTTTATTATATGAATTTCGATTATATAGCTTACACATTGACCGATATTTTCGGTAAAAAGTTAACTATGGGCACTGGGGTTCACATATTCAGTACCCAGGGGCTTTAACAGTTTTGATTCGATTACGACAAGTTTTGGTTAAAAGGTGGCACACTATAAAGGCATTATTCACGCAAAGTTTTACCCCGATATAATCATTGTTGCTTGATTTGCATAGTGGGAAGTGAAAGAATCAGATGGAATTTAAAATGGCGATATATGGGTTGTTCTCCGATTTCGCCCATTTTCACAATATACAATAACATAGAAATGTGTGAAGAATGTTACGTATTGAATTTCGTTAATTTTCTAAATCGGTTAAGCAGATCTCAAGTAATGGAGTTTCACCTAAAAGTGGGCGGTTCCACGCCTACTGTCTAATTCTGAAGGCGGTTCCAATAAAATCATCTCATACCATCCTAGAGATAAAATTTAATCTCTCTGGCGCGTTTAGTGCTTGATTAATCGCGCTTTTAGTAGTTTTTAACAGTACCGTTACATGGTTAGTGGGCGTGGACCTTTTTTCACGCTGTCAATAGAGGTGCAAAAAGTATTTGTTCTCAGTGAATTTTGTAATTATAGCTTTAGCGGCTTAGGAGATATGCGCATTAAACCTATTAGGGGGCGGGACCACGCCCACTTTTTTTAAATTTAAATTTAGATTCCCTTCCCTAATATGATCCTCTTTATCAAATAACAGTCTTATACCTACTTCGTGACTTCCACCAAAATCCTAAGAAGAACATATTTTAATCAAGCATACGAGTCTTCTAAGAACTGTGCAAATCTACCCGCAAAAGAAACAAGTTTACGCATATAAAGCTACTTTACTGGAGAAATATTATTGAATAGATACGTAGATAATATATTGCTCTCAAAGATAACTTCAAGTTGAGCAATATACTTAGAAAAAATATTTTGTATATCAAACTACACTAACCAATACCTACTAACTAATAACTTCTAACTACATAATTAAAAGTGAAAAATAGTGAAAAAACTTTAGCAATGAATCAGCAATGTCACTAAACCTTGTAAACAAAGTCGGTACTTAAATATATTTTATTAAACAAGTTTTGCAACTGATTGCCAAACCAACAGTTATCTTCCGTTTCCTTCCACACAAACAATTTGCATTCTCTTATTCCCTTGGTAGCCGTTGTAATCCTTTTCGAACCATTCAAATCTTTTAGCAAATGAACTTGAGCCCAAATGATCTAACGGTATTTACGGAGATGTGTATACCGCAGGTATAATAGTTGGCCAGAAAAAAAAATCGCCCAACAAAATGCGCCACTCCATTGGAGCATATTTTTGTGGCACATAAAATGCCCTTTCTCCTATGGGACCATGCCGCAACGTGCGTCAGAACCACGCACAATGCCACGAATAACTACTTAGCTACACTTAGACCCGGTGACACACACTCACATAGGTATATGCGTAGCTTAAGTACTTGCGCTTTGCACGCAACTTGAGTTTATTTGTGCGCCGTGAGCTTTTTTGTTTGCCT